TTTTTTTGTGAGACAGGGTCTTGCTCTGCTGCCCAGGCTAGAGTGCAGTGGTGTCATCATAGCTCACTGCAACCTCAAACTCCTGGGCTCAAGCAATCCTCCTGTCTCAGCCTCCCAAGTAGCTGTGAACCACCACACCTGGCTAATATTTTTTTCCTATTTTTAGTAGAGATGGGGTCTTGCTCTTGCTCAGACTGGTCTTAAACTCCTGGCCTCAAGTAATCCTCCTACCTTGGCCCCCCCAAATGGATAAATTCTAACAAACAAAATATGTGCTGTAGAAGGTTTGTCTCTTACTTACTTGGTCAAGATTGTATTTAGTGAAGATGATGCTAAATATCAGGTTTCACATTCATGAAGCATACCTAAACATGAAATCAATTAATTTACACTAACAGTAATGATCATAAGGCATTTACAGTTAAAGACAAAGCTGTTTTGAATTATTACAGTTCATGAGACATCATGTCTTCTGCCTACAGGACGTATTAGGTTGGAATAAAAAACTGGACAACGACTAGAAGACTAAATAAAGTGAACTATGCAAAGGAAAGTGCTTTGTATGGCACAGAGGAAGTGCTCAAAAAAAAGCAGGAGACCAGAGATAAACAAGCAAACAGATCTGGGAAGTACAGAGCAACATACCTGCCTGATCCTCTTTTAGCGTGTTGGAGATGGTGGAGCCCGTCAGCGCAGCGAGTGTTGCCGACGGGGAGGCCCTGTACCGAGAAAGTCTGCTCAGAAGCATCTCATTAATGCTTTTTGCAGACTCGCCCTCTTTTCTCATTAGAATTGTGCGTTCCTGAAGTGGGTTGGCTACAAAGACACCATTTTCAACCTAATGTTAAAAAAAAAAAAGAGGTCCTAAAATAATATGTTTCCATTTAGTTAGCACATTTCAACTTGAGATTATTGTGAACTAGTTGATTAAAAACAGTTAAAAAACTGCACCCCAGTAAATGTAGACCTCAAAACTTAAGTGTTCTATAGAAACTACTGTAAACAAAAGAGGCTATGCTAAGTTTGAGAGCTTTCATTTTTCATAATAGCCCAGATTCTAAATGTAATGAGCCAAGTTTAATAGGTTCTATGAAGAGTTGTTGATTAAAATTCCTTATACCGAGTTCCAGAGGCAGTGGAAGTAATTACATGCCTCTGACAGGTAGAAGTAAGACGACAGGAAAACAAATCAATCAGTCTTTGATTTACCATTAAGGACAACTATGAGGATAATGTCTTCTGGAAATATAATTAGTGGCTAAAATCCAAACCCTATATTATTACAGCAGCAGTTAACATTAGCACCAGCAGCTTGGGTACTGACAGAGCAGCCCTGGACAAAGGAAGACTTGGCCACAAGTACATGTCAACTTCGACTGGGTCTCTGCTGGTGCTTGGCAGCTCTTTCACTCATCACTTCATTATTCCCCAGCAAAATCTCCGCAGTGGTGATTCCAGAATTCCTTCACAGATTTTGAGCTTGACTTTCAGCAGACCACCTGGCTTTCTTTATTGCTAAAATGATCCACTTACCAAAAGCTTCTCCCACTCATCTCTCTTCCAACTCAAGACTCTTTGAACCCAACCTCATTTATTCTTCCTTTCCTCTTAATTCAGAGGAAGAAGCATTTCAGCTCCTACTACTTAAGGCAAACCTTCCACTTCTGCCTCGAATTCTGGGCTTCCCTCTGCCCACCTCATCATCAGTGTCTCCCTTTCTACTGACTTCCTCCTTTTGTTTTCAAATATTCACAGATCTCAGATGTTAAACAAAACCTTGGTGGCCCATTAAAACATCATCCCTTTTCCCCATTTCCATTCATTGTCCATGTCTCAAATATCCCACCGGCCCCTTCTAGACCTGGGTTCCTGGATCTGGCTGCTGTCTCAGAAACTGGTCCCACCAGCTAAGACAGGAAGGACAGGCCTGCAGCTGTGGTGTATGGGGATGAGAGGGAACAGGAATACAAAGTGGCAAGCCTTCAGAAGCAAGCAGAAAGCAAAGAAGGGGTCCAAAGGGAAAGGTTGGTAACAGAGAAGAGGCAAGAGAAAGTGAGCAAAATCAGGAGCACAGCCAGGAAAGGTCCCCAAAGGTGGCTGTCCACAGTGGGGGAGTCTTTTATGACACATCCACAAATGATAAAGGAAAAGATCTGTTAGAGTCCAAAAATGCTGTTTCTATTTCCTCAACCCCTGCTTCTTAACCCTTTGAAGTTGCTGGTCTCTGAACTCAGCTCCCTCTAATGAGTGGACACTCTTGATGGTCCACCAGTAACTTAAAACCCAAACCTTCAACCTTTTCCTTGCCTTCCTTGCAGGTTGTGCCATGGTTCAGCCTTCTTGAGATTCTCCTTCTTCAGTCTGAGTGGCAGAACACAATCCTGGTTTGTTTCTTTTTAACGTGAACACGTATCTCTGTGTAAAGTGCTCACTGTGTTGGCGCGTGGAGTCCCTGCCCTCCCTCCTCTTTTCTTCTTTGCTGGTCTCCAACACCACTTGCTCAAGGGGCAGTTTGCCCCAGATCAGACCAGCCTCTGGTGTCCAAGACCTCTGCCTGCCACACTCTATCCCTAGACCTTCCTGTGGTGGGCTCTTTCCCATCGTTCAGGTCTCAGGTAGAATGTCACCTATTCAGAGGCCTTCCCCGATTGCCAATCTAAAGAATCATCTCCCCTAGTCCACCAAGTCAGAGCACAGCACACTGTTTTGTTATCTGCACAGCACTCACCACTCTCTGAAATTATTGTTTGTCCTTCTACCTCTCTCTGCCCACCGCAACTCAATGTCAGCTGCCTGAGAGCAGGAACCCTGCTGCCTTGTTCCCCATAATGTGCCCAGTGCTCAGGAGGCATTCAATAAAGATGCCTTGCTCGGTGAACAAATCAATGCCCTCCCCCAAATCTGACTCCAACTTCTCTGTGGTGACCCCAACATTTCTATCTACAAACTCATTCTTGCTACTAAGATCTAGTCCCATTTTTCTAACTGCCCCTCACCCTCCCCACCGACACTTCTACTCGAATAGCCTCCAGTCATCTAAAATTTAACACGTCCACATCTTACTGCATTGTTTTACCCCCACCCTCCTGCCAGATTAACCTTTAGCAAGCATAGTTCTATTTATGTTGCGCAATTCTAAATATAACCCTTCAGAAGCATCCAAGATAAAAATCAATCACTTTAAGTTTGGCATTCAAAAGCACTACCCAATCTGGCCCTATGAGAAAATCAATGTATAACTTAAAAAAAAAAAAAAGCCACTACATTATTGGGTTCGAGTACTTTGAAAATATTGAAAAGAAAGACTCATAAAGCACCTATGAGATGCAAAGAGGACTTGAGGTTTGGTCCACAAATGATAAATCTGCTGGGGATCCCTATTTTAGCAAGGAAGCTCTTCGGGGTAAAAATCTGCCCGTTTAGGAAGGAGGAGAAGAGCTGGGAGGGTGAGCAGCAGAGTTCGTTGTGACCAGGGGCTTCCCTCCTGGTGACCACCCTGGTCTACACCACCATCATCTCAAGCCAGATGACTGGACCAGCCTCCCAGCCTGTCTTATCAGTACTTCTTTTCGTTCTTTTTGTTCAGGGGCCATCCTAATCTTCTCTATATCGTTCCAATCTGGGTATCTGTGCTGTCAAAGCAAGCACTTATCAGTACTTCTAAATATTGGAGTGGAATCATAATTCACAGCAAATCTAATTCTTTCCAATAATTATCATAGTCACATCTATGTTACAAGTATCTATACTATTTAAAAACCAAAGTTAATCATGAATCAGTAAAGAATTTCAGGGTTAGAACCTTAAGAATCATCTCATCTAAAACTTTCTTTCATAGATAAAGTTTTTGGCCTGGTTTGGCCCAGGAGGGCTATGGCTAAGCTGTATAATTTGTGAGTTTTGAAACAGGTGATTTTATTATCTATTCAATAATTTAAATTTTAAAAACCAAAATTAAAAATACTTCAATGT